ATTATTTGTGTATTCTTCTTGGGAATCCTTGTTTGTCAGATAAATACCGATACAGTCCGACTATCGTTGTATGTATTATGTTATGTATTTATTTTTTTTTGGGACAAACCCGCCACAATCTCCCAAAACCGCTGCAACTCCTGTAAGTCAGGATCTACCGTAGATACAACCATGAAACCACCGAAGTCCGGCGCGTCCCAGGGACATGAATAACTTTCTTGGTTTCCGCAACGAAGTGAATCAGAAGATATTATAAGAGGAGAAGAAAAAAAAACGAAAGTGCATTTGATTTATCAACCTTGAAACTAGTCCCCAAAACCTAAGCGTATGAAGTTATATTTTTACGATCTTTGTTCAACAGTAGAGATATTAATTTAATGAAGAGTGAAGACTTTTTGATCTTAATTATTGACAAGAATGAATTATTTCCCAGGGGTATTTTTATATTAAATTTCTCTTTAAAATCCACAGGAAAATTCACCTTAATATTACCGTACGTACATAATTACTGCAGAATTTAATTACCACATGAGCGTGCTGTAAATATTGCATACGAGTATTTATAATATTTTATGGCAGACATGGGGATCGAAGCTTTTCACGACATTTTAACTAGCTTAGAATATTACATCTAAATATTTACAGTTTATTTATACAAAAAATATATTAAAAATGTATCTATCTGTAATGCAAAAAACTTTTGAACGTTTGCACTTAATTACATGTTTTTGTGGTGTTGATATTAAAAATAGCAATTGAAATAGGTATATCTGGGTTAGTTGCGGATCAGACCAACACCTTATTTAAAATTTTTCCTTATTTCGTTGGTTTCATGAAAGCTGGTTTAGCCATTCTCTCTATGTTTCTACGCTTTGAAAAACTTCTAAACCGTCTTTCAAACAACATACAATATCTAAACGAAATTTCAATCATGATTGTCGGAACTCATAGATAGAGAATCGGCTTTAAACATGAAAGTAGCGCCCTCTATCGTTAGGCAACGTCATTATCAGTACTTACATTCTGATCGCCACATGCCGTCTCTATCAAAGAGTGATTCATTCATTATAGCGCAATAAGTTTAAGTAGTTAGATGCAGATGGCGCTAGTAACATGATTGGCTATAATGTTTTCTGAGGGTAGGTTATCTTTTGTTTAGGTATCATTTCACAGTATTATGTGCCTTTTAATGTTATTCTTGAAATTAACAACAATGTGATTGTTGAGTTCAGTTCCTAATTCAACTTGAAGAAAGAAGACGATGAACTTCATCCGTAATTATTTTATTTTTTATATTAATATTCATTGTCAGACCATTGAAAAATGTTTGAAGGAATCGTTCTGTTTTCCTCATATTTTAAAATGTAGTTCAATGTCCATCATAGGTACGTAAGGTCCTACCATTATTACCTACTTGGCCCTGCTGTCTATTCCTGGCATCTAAACGATCGGATTCGAGAACTATTTATTAGAAGAGTCGAACAGTTCGTGTATAAATCCTGATAGGCAGACAATGTCAGATGTATTAAGTTCAGTGACATATTAACTGACGTCTTCCGGAGAGAGAGCTGATTGGAGCCTCATCCTAGTTACTTTCATAGCCGGGAGGGGGCCGAACTTAATGTGTTCGTGCATTATTTTTGCAAAATGCTTGGCAAAAAGTGCCAAAACATCACGCGCCTAGACTCTAATGTGTGATTTTGTTTAGCAGTGTATCCCACAGCTGATGATAATTGTGACATAAGAACCCATTAAAAAGAGGAAAATCGAATAAGTTGTTATATCTACTTATAGTTATAATATCGAATTCAATTTTAAACTATCAAACACCGAGCGGTCACCGGTGACCGCAACCTATTGTTCCGGTGCCCGCTTGGTATTTGACAGTTTAATTGTGTCTGTAAAACCGGTACTCGACGAGTTAATTGTGTCTATAATGACGGTATTCAACGAGTTAAACTTACCCCGTATTACATGGGACTCAAAACATAAATAATAAAAATTTGGTGTTACATCATACAGTGGCATTAAATGCCATAATGTGCACCTCTGCCAACTCTTCGGGAATAAAAGACGTGATGTTATGTTATGTGTCAATTTTAAACCCCGTAGGTACTTTTTCATCCTATGCCATTTAAATTTCGCCGAGAATTCCTAATCCCAATGTTAAAGGTAACTAAATAGTTTTTCCAAACCCGTGAATCAAACCTGAGATTCCTAACTAGGTACTATTAAACCAATGAGTCAGTCTTTCCAAAAGTCCATTGAATAAGGAACCCGGCAATATGGCGCGACTGGCGACAGTGTTTGCGGTGGTGTGCACGACACCATAAACCACTGAGCTAGCGGTGTGGTTAGCCAGCCGTTCACATTATTACACGACACTACATCGCTGCCAAGTTCCTTACTGTTTACGAGCTCAAACATTATTTGCATACACTACTAATATCTACTGAATAGTCTTTATGCAGTATTTTAGAAATAAGGACTTATGATATGTCATGTATTGACCAGTTTAAGAGCTAAGTATACCTAATAATTTTGGTACGTAGGTAATGTCATCTATGAAAGAAGCCGAAGCCCATAAAGAGACTAGAAAATTCCACCCTTATTAACGGGTCATTTGAAGGGTGTTAATAAGGTCTGAGGGCACGAAAGTGTCTCTGCTGAGGCGGCCAAGCTAACTATTATGGTAGTATCTACTTTATCTAAATTTATACCAGGATTTGGTCTGACCAAAAGGTTGGATAAAATATTGGTGTTGGTGTCTGACTAAAACGCTCATCGCCAAATTGTAAACAAAAGTTACCCGATTGTGCAAGTTTCAATCCCACAAAAATCAAGAGTCAATATTAAAATCAATCAGTCAATCGATTAAGGCCAGATAAGTAGAAATAACTCCATGTTTAGTTACATTGCTAAATGTATAAGACTTCATAATTATGATTATCTTTCGCTCACTATCTGCGCTCTCGTAACCAATAATATTTTTCATAAAACGACTGTTAGTTTAAACCTATCCTATCAAATGACATAAAAAATATTCCCATGAGATTCGATTGCGTTAAGATTTTGTGTGTGTGATATTCGATACCTATGTTATGAATAAAGATAGACAGGTACCTACTATAGATTAGTGCAGCTAATGAATTAATATGCTTGCACATAGGTACACCAACTTGTGCGCTGTTTTAAATCTTAATTAGTGAGTGCTATCAAAATATTCATACACAATAAGATATAGTAGCCTTAGAGGTTCCTATCATAATTATTATGTAACCTACAAGGTGAAAAACAAACTGAAACAGGCTGAAGCTTGCTTATTTATCTTAAAACCGTTAAATCTTATATCATAAACTACTAACTTCGTTGACGTCATACAAAACAGAATCGGGTCTCTTCAAGACAAACGAAGTCTACCTTGAACTAAATTATTTAGTAGGCAAATTGCAAGCGCAATGTTATACTACAGTGCAGTTCTGCTATCCCCAGACTCAGATCATCACGCTAATCACAGATTTATCTCCCTCTCGGTCACTGTCGCTTCTATTTTTATCAACACGTGTTAGTTAGGTACATCGCCGAAATTACTGCGCCAATCTTTCAGTCTTATAATTAGGTAGGTTTATGCGGAAAATTACAATATACCTCTAATGTTGAAGAAATTATTTGTTATTTCTTTTTTTTTCTCGGTTATTTTCTTTAATTGTTCATTGCCATTGTTTCGTTAGCTGCCTATTAAATAGTTTTATTGACGGAACTTGAGTTCTATTTTTTCAAAAATTTATATAATTCTAGAAAGTACGTAATGAAAATAAGAAAGTTAACGCTACTGAGTAGGTAGGTACTTACAGCAACATGCTTGATACATAATTTGAGGTAAATAATGGTTTACGTCAATTTTAATTGTCAAAATTAGTAGAGCACAATATCTTCAAATTAGAATATGTATCGATAGTGCGTATTAGTATAACATTAGGGTCAGTATACGCAGGTAGTGAGGCATGAACCGCGGATGGAAAGGAAACCTAATACCCACGGAAGCCACTGCCATGTCAAATCACCTACATACTTACTACACATGTAGATATTTCACCACGCACACGTAGGAGGACACCTTGTAATTCCAATTTAACGATACACAGTACACCCAACCCACGAACAATGTGTCGGAAACACAATTTTTACTAAATATGTACATACTTCCTTTATCCATTATTTTAGCTATAAGTACTTATAAAACTTCTTTTAATACACTCATCATGCACATTGCATATTTCTCTTTATTGTCTAAGTACATTGCAGGCTCGATATTCTCGTAATTGTTTAAGTAAATATTATTAGTAACTAGAGAGGCTGAGAAATTCTGCCTCAGAATAATAATTATAAAACAATGATCTTTCAATTATTCAAGTTCAGTGCAAGACGCTGTTCAAAATGTGTAACATCAACTCTATCACTTGACGGCTCACTGTAACTAATTGGCAAAATCGATCACTTTAAAACCGTATTTTAAGGCAATGACGCGTTATTGTTTGATAAAAATATTTTGCAAATTAGGTACTGCAATTAGTGGTATTTTTACGTAACTAATTAGTTCTTGTAATCATACCATTAGTTGATGTCCTGTACCAGGCAATCAAATGGCCAATAGAATGTGGTCAGTCATTGGTGATCCCTTGACAATTGAATATTGTGTCTAAAGGACTAGTTGTCTTATACTTCTCCTCGGTATAGGGGCTAATTTGATGTCACACAAGTGGAGTGCTCCATTCATAGCACACGCGCACGCCCTCGCTCACAATACCATACAAATACTTTCAGCAAATATATTAAAGTAAAGCATTAAACTAGTGTTTGTGTATCCAGATGTGAAAGTGTGATATTATTATAAACATTGTGTTTAAGGTGATTCATCGTGAGTGATAATCGAATGTTAAATTTTATGACGAATTTTTTCCGATTTATATACGTAATTTACATATATTGTTAAATAAAAAATGAGTGTTAAATATGGAGCCACGGATGTCGACAGGAAAATAGAAGAGGCCGACAAAGAGGCGACCACCGAAGTCGAAATTAACTTGAGGTAATTTACTTGTTAGCATTCCTTATCACCGGTCGTTTATCTAATCCGTTCGAATTCAGTTCAGTGCAACTTATCCAATTAGTGACTAAACTCAGTTAAAGTAAGTGAAGAAAATTGCCCGGTTCCCTTATTCTTCAGCACAACACCTCTAACTACAAATTTCCCCTTGACGAAGAATATCCTTCAGAATCCTTTCTTAGTCAATTTAACTAAATTACTGCTGAGTTTCGGCCAATCGAATCGGATAACAATAGCGTAAAAAATATCGATTAACTGCAACGATTCAAACATGGTTTTTGTAGTTTATAATAATTGGTTTTGTATCAGGTTAGGCACACATATATTGAGCACAGTTATTGCACTAATGCTTCTTACGGTTCTATATCTAAACCACTTTTTATAATAGTGACGTTGACTATTCTAGACATCATATGTGTGTTAGATTGTAGGTATATCAAGTACCTATGTATACACTAAGCCTCATCGTGTTCTCAATGGTACCTACAACACAGATGTAGCGACTATACCGAGCTGCTATTGTGTATTTTCTCTTCGCACACAATCGTTGCGAACATAACAAACGCGAACCACGTTTTTAGTAAACTCAGGTTATGTTTATGTAGCGATGATTGATATGTATCTTTGGCTCTACCAACTAGGTCTCTCGTTTTTCGGCCTCCCTTCGAAATGATCTGACTTATTCCGATTTTTTGTTTTATTTTTATTTGCAGTATGTTCTTTCTGTGCATGGGTGCTATTCGGACGTTTCCGATATAGTAATTGTTACCATAATTCTGCCTATGTCCCTAAAATTATAAAAGCACCAAAAAAGAATTTCTAACCTGGTGCAGCTATCCGAGGGTGAAGCCATTTTGGAGATCCATTTTTATTTATAGTTGTTATATCCGGACTAGTTAGTCCATATACGGTGGTATCATATTGTATTTTGGGTGTTGTTATCAGGTTATTTTTACTTTTGCTTTCAACAAAAGGATTACTGTAACCTGTTCCTCTATCGCTTTATGTCCCGAAGTTTGCGTAAACACATGTTATGACCCATTTTTTCTCATTTTCAATTTTTGTTGTTACAGTGGGCCCTTCAAAAGAAAATGGTGGCGGGTCAGTCAACATATGCTCTTTGGTCTTGGCCATGTCTACAACGACCTTTGTGCAGCCATGTGGTTCTCCTACATGATGCTGTTCTTCCAAGCAGTGCTGGAGATGAGATCAGCAGTTGCTGGTGCTATGCTACTTCTAGGTAAATTATTGAAGAATCTATTACTAAATTGAGTACCTAAGAAAAGCGAAAGTTTGTCAACAAACTTACAAACGAACAATGGAAAATGTGAATTTACTCCTAATATCCGTTGAAGTGGATGCGTTGTCTGCCTCATTGAGGAAATAACATGAATCTTGTTCCGAATACTGAGTTAGACAAAGTTCTATACTATTGTATTAAATTCTGGCATCTACAAATTAATGTTAACATCTTTAAACCCTTCCGAAATCTCCAGCTAATTTGACAGCTTTATTGAACTTGTAGAGATAATTATAATTGCCCCTTATCATATGAGGAAACTTTTAAGCGGGTCCTTAAATTAGCAAAAAAGTTAAATGACGGAATAACTGGCTTAATGTGTCTATGTTGTAACCGAGACCTAGTCAGAAGTGGCATCTGAACGCATAATCTTTTTTAATTTTAAAATAAATAATATTATAGGTGCGTTAAAAATGAAATCAGTTACGCACCGTGACATTTTACAAAGTTAGTATTTTAAATTGCAACATCTTTTTGTTTTTCCATGCTTTGTTCTGAAACAATGTCAAGTATATACTAATAAATTAGGGGCTTTGTTTAGACATATTTTAAATTTAAAACTGTGGATAACATTTTAAGTTTTTGTATACCTACATATAAATTGTTTAAACTATGTTATGTTAGTTACAAATGTTTGAAGGAGTATTAATACAATACGTCAAAGGATAAAAGGTAGTCTACCTAATCATCATGTCGCTGAGAACCTAACGGGTTACCGGGGCTCCGGATCGAAGTGCAGGAGAAAGAACGGGGTGGTTGTGGTTTTTAGTCAGTAAGAGTCTGACACTCCCTCCCGCCTCACCTAGGCGGGAGCAGTCATTCGATGATTTTTTCCCCTTAAAAAAAACCTAATCATCTTCAGATACAAATATAAAACGATTAAAATACTCACTTGCAATGTGAAAGAAAAATTACTCATGAGTTACGTTTTGTATTGCCCAAAGCAGTTAGTGCTACTGCAAGACTTTAAATTTTAACCCTTTTGAGAATCTCCAAATCTGAAAAAAGATACGTAAGAATTTCTTCAACTGTGGTATTTATGACCACTAGACATAACAAGATTCTTGACATACCAACCGTAAAACAATAGTAAAATTCATAAATTACCTACCATGTTCATTTTCATTGTTAGGAATAATTTTCTTTTTTTCTGCGGATGTCATTTGTTTTATTGTTTCTTTTTTATTTCAAGTATGTATCTAGGTATGTAAGTAAGTACCTACCTAAGTTATTTTAGAGGTATTAACGTACATTTTTATTTTTTAATTCCAGGTCAAGTCATAGATGCGCTGGCGACTCCAGTCGTTGGCGTGTTAGCTGATAAATTTGGAAGTTTGAAATCGTGGCATTTAACTGGTTTGTACCTGTGACCTTATTGGTTAACTACACTTGTTATACCCTGATGTTTGAACCAGTCGGGCAGATATTTGAGCAATTCTGCTTTCTGGATCATGATTTTAGAGCCTGTAGCTACATTACTATGACATACTGACTAGTTTCTTTACTTCGTTTTTAGTTAATTCAGTGTCTCACGATAGTTATTATAAAACATGACTATGACAACTTGTGCATCGGGTACAATTCATTCAAAGGCGTGCATCCTGATGCCTGTATAATGCAGACATTTAAAAACGTCGACGTTTTTCCTAGTTCAAATGACCCTAGTTGAGCAATCGTAATTTAATCATCAAATCCAAAAAATGGCTTCCCATGCTATATCTTCAATTCTGTAACATTTAAGTATTTTAATCATAACCATATCATAATCATAATCATAATCATTTATTTTGTTAACATGTGTAGTTGAAGAATTAGGTACAGGTCATAATACGTTTGTAACAGAACACTATATCATGCCAGTAGGCGTACAAATATATTCTGAAGAGTGAAGTAAAAAAAAATCTAGCACAAGCTATCAGATCAAAGCAGACAATTATTGTTGCATAAATAAGAAAACTGTATCAAATAGTAAATTTTATGTTTTTTGAGTGCATTGTGCAATGGTTAAAAAGCTAATGACTGATTGATGGATTATCGGATTTCTACCAATATTTTATACTTATATCTCCCTCGTAGTTGATAATAGGCTTTCAAAACATCTTTTGTGCGCATTGTCACCTGGTGGGCAAACGTGAGTCTGTTTAGCAAACACGAATCATAGGATTTTAGGTGCAACGTCAAAATCGTCTAGGAATGTTCACATTGTTCTTTGTGTAACAACTTTGTATGGAAATGAGTTCTGTTCGTACCTTAAGATATATAGTGTGACAATTGTTCGACATCCATACAATGCTTATCTAACCTTATCAAAACTTCGTATGTTTTCCCGCTTTGGTTAACTGCTCGCCATTGCAAAGAGCAAGGTCCCGATTCGATTTTTCTCTAACAGCTGAAATAGCAGTCATAAGTCGTAACTTTCGAAAGTCAATGTAAAAATATCTGTTTATCGATCATACATTTGCTCAACCGAAAATCGATTTTGTTTGATAGATAACATGTTTAAATTCTCTACGTGTACCTTCTAAGCCTTTTGTACAAGTAGAACTGACGGCGCTGACGACAAAGTAAAAAAGATATATCTATATCTGTGCAGAGTACTGCACATGTACTAACAGCGACTGGACTGCAGCGCACTGTGAGAAGACGGCAAGCTCTCTTAAGTATGTAGACTAGAGGAGTTCCATAGTCTGCACAACGCAGCAGTGTGCACAGTGGGCTACAACATGGGGTTCTTCAAGTGGGATTGAATATGTTGCTTAAGGGCCGGCAAGATGCATGTAATGCCCCAAGTGTTGCAGGCGTACATAGGTCACAGTAATCGCTTACTATCAGGTGGGACGTCTGCTTTTTGCCACCGTCGTGGTATAAAAAAAAGTGAACTGTCTTGGGCTGCGTGATTAATGCACGATACACACTTTACAATTTATACACACTTTACATACAGCCTAGTCCATACAGTAGGTCTATACACACCTTACGATACGACGTAGGTCGTAGGTGTGTACCATGCTTAAGTTTTTTAGTGTCTCATTCGCATACTGTTCTCATACTGTTTCAGGTTGTGCTTTAGTTACGTGTACGTTTCCCCTACTCTTCGTACGATGTTGGGGTTGCTGGTTGACGGAGGATCCCGACTACCTGGACTGGTGGATGCCTGTCTACTACGGCGTGCTCATCGTGGTCTTCCAAATAGGATGGGCTGTTGTACAGATATCCCATCTCGCGATGATACCGGCTATTTCGGATAACCTTCAAGTGCGCGCCGATTTAACTTCTATCAGGTAATTTCTACCATATGTAAAACCACTTACAAAAGTTACAAATATGACCTGAACTCTGAGTACTATGTCGTAAAACTGCTGTAACAGTAACATTCTCTTAATTTTCGGTTACCGAAAAGCGATCCCTTAGTCCGATTCTACACTACAAGAACCCAAGAACTGGTGATGAGAAGCCTATTGGGGATCTAACATAGGAAAAAAGGAAAGGTAGCAATAAAATAAATTTCTCCTATTTAACACGCATAATAATTTCGTTTCAGATATATGGCTTCAGTGACCTCAAGTTTGGCTGTGTACCTAATAACATGGGTCGTGCTGAGGGCCAGCAACTACAGCACTTTTATTGGACCAATGGATGACTATAAATTCAGGGTAAGCCCTAATCTATATATATAAAAGAAAGTCGTGTTAGTTACACCACTTATAACTCAAGAACGGCAGAATAGATTTGGCTGAAAATTGGTAGGGAGGTAGCTTAGAGCCAGGAGACCGACATGGGATACTTTTTTACCAACAATTTTTTTTTACTTTTTTCCGAAAATCACGAACGGGTATGGGAAAAAATGGGATGGTACGCGTACGAAGTCGCGGACAGAAGCTAGTAAATAACTACAATAACTACTACAAAACTAAATAGAATAGATGACCCTACAAACACTCCAGCTACAAACGGACCTTAAAACGTATTTCTGCTAGTTTAGCTTTCCCGGCGGATTTCATTATGAAAACCTAGAACGTTGTAATGTTCGATTTACGGTAACAATTCCAGTACCTATCCACATCTATCTAATTCCTAATCCTTTTCCATTCCCGATCTCCAATCTGAGTGTTAGTTCGGTGTATGTAAAACAACATAAGAGAGAAATTCCTTTTTTATATCTATTGCATGGCAGACACCTACTTTCATACATTGCATACTCTCGCCTTAATTACTTACATTAGCTTGATGTAATCAAGTAATCGTTAAGATGCAATTACACAATGCAACGTAATTATCGTGCACCATGAGCAATAGCAATTTTACAGTTAAATTAGTATTTAATGTGATCATAGCATAATTTCACGCCTGGTAACTTATTAGGTTCCTATTATTCCACTATGATTTAGCTATTTAGGACAGGTATTCTGTAGGTATAGTTCTTTTATCTTAAGGGCACGCGTTAGCCATAGATGTAGTGTGTTGTAGTGCGTATAGACACGCGCGCTTGTGTGCGTAACTCGCAGTAAGCTTATTCATTGGCATGCCGACCAAAACTCGGCTTTCCCGAGCGTACGCAAACAAAGACAATGTGCGTGTACATTTACCCACACTAGTATGGCGCACCCGCGCTCATGAGATAAAACATCTATACCTAATAGAAACAACTTGTGCTTATTTACATATTCTACAGTTACGCTTACGACTTACCTATTCAATCATTTTAGTCCCGACTATCCAGGATCAATGTTATATTTCAGGGCGTGTCGCTCATCATTTCTGGCATCGGAATAGTGTCATTCCTTGTATTCCAAATATTCTTCAAATTAAAACCAAAGAAGGAGGAGAAGGCTAATGGCCACGCTGTGAACAATGGTCAAAATGGAATAACGCCTTCAGTGCAAAATGAAGAGACTGGTACTCTGGAGGTCGCCAAGTCGAAAATTATGTACTTTCTTCGTATGCCGCTTTTGTATCAAACTAGTTTATTGTAAGTAGACCACCAACAGGTGATTTTTTACTTTATTGTTATGTAATTAAGTTGAAAATGTAAAAAAGATTCATAGGTTCTTATAGGCTTGCAACGAGTAGGTAGTTTTCACTTATTATCAGGATGCTTGCGAAACAATGAGGCTTGTTTAATTTTTACCAACTGAGAATAGGTCCTAATGCCATCTAGTGATCACAAAAGCAATATCCCTTATTGGGCTACTCTCAATTTTGAGGTGTAATAAAGACAAAGATTAAAGTTGTTTGTCTATTTAAATGACTGTTCTGGTTTCAGATACGTTTTCTCCCGGTTATACTGGGCTCTAAGTCTAGTCTACGTACCGCTGTTCCTAGAAGAACGCCTGGTGTTCAACCCTAGCGCTGGGTCCGAGCTGGTGGCCAGTGTACCTCTAGTCCTATACATATCCTCATTCTTCTTTTCATTACTCTTGAAGAGTAAGATCAACCGGTTTGGGAATCAGGTAATAATTGTCTTATTTTTAAGTTGATCTAAGTATTTATTGTACAAAGAGGCCAAACTGTATTCTGCCTACAGAATACAATGTGATATCTACTTTTCACCAGTTTGTTATGAGTTGCATTCCATGACTGCACGGTTGGTGCGGTGCACCTCACAAATCGAACCCGGAATTAGGTACTTACCCGATTAAAGAAGCTTTTTTACTTAACACTGATAAATTGTCTCCACAGGTCGCGTATTTAGTGGGGAGCTTGCTAAGTCTGTTAAGTTGTCTATGGATAGCAATAGCCATAGATCCAAACGCTAGTATAGTGCAAATATACATGGTCGCTACTTTAATTGGTAAGTTATTATATTTTTTTATGGGTAAGCAATCGGCGTCGCCCATTGACATCTGGAATACCAGAGGCGTTATAAGCGCGTTACCGGCCTTTTGGGGATTAGGAGTTTAAGGATTGTTGGAGATTCAGTGATTGGGGAGATTGGGGTAACCTCACTCACACGACGAAACACGTCAGTTTTATGCGAGGCCGTGGTATCACTCCGTTCGTGGCGGCCCATTCGTGCCGAAGCATGGTGGTGAATATAATAAAATATTGATTTTAAGTGTTTAAGTAACCAATGGAACAGCCCGTGAGATTCCTCTGCTGGACTACGGACCTTGTCTACTATACCAGGGTTTGCCATAATCTCCACGATTGCCAATGCCAAGCGAGTTGGGAATTGCAGTGGTCGAAAGAACAGGTTTATCAGAAAACGGTGCTGCCTAGTCCCTATTAATCGACCATTACGATAGCCATGTGAGGACTAGTCGTAAAACTTGAGTCCCATGTAATAGGAGATGAACCATACACCGGGTACCACCTTATTGCTACTGAGACCTTTCGAAAAACGGAAATACATAGTCTCTAATAACTTTGACGGACCGGAGAATCTTATCTCGAGACCCCTACATCCGATCTTCCCGAAACTAGTAACCAGCACATGGTGAAATATTTGCAGGTGCTGGCAGTTCTATAACCTTAGTATCCAGTCTGTGTGTGACTGCAGATCTGATCGGTCCCCACTCCCACCAGGGAGCTGCCATTTATTCCATTGTCACTTTTGCTGACAAACTCGTGACGGGAATAGCTGTAGTCGCCATTGAAAATTTGTAAGTATAGTTTTAAAAACGTGGCTCGACAACCGACATTATTATTTTTTTCAGTTGCGTGCGTATACAATCGTACGAAATCAAGTACAAATCACACCTGCACATGCATCATGACTGACTGCCAACCATGCCGTGGGTTCGATTCCCGCACAGAATAACTGTTTGGGTGATCCACAAATTATTGTTCCGGGTCTGGGTGTTATGTGTATGGGAATTTGTATGTTTGTAATCGCGTTCACGACACAAGAAAAATACAGTGTGGGGTAATGTTTCAAAAATATCTAGAACAACAATTTGTAGATTACCTACACGAAGGGTATACCTACAATTAGAATTCATAATATACATACAAATCAAATACATACTTTTCTTCTCTTCTCAAATTTATTATGAAACACTAAAGTTTCTCAGTGTTCATAGTCATACATAATCACATCACTCAGAATCACAATTAGGTATATAAACCTACTCGACAACGAACTGCGAATGTCTCCAATTTAACATTTAATGCAAAATAAGATCTGTTTTGCCCAGCACTAAAACTCAGTTTTGCATAGGTACTGACAAAGTGTTCTCACTTTATGTGTATTCGTTGGGAATACAAATAATGAGTTACAAAAATTGCTATAATTGCTTTTAACAATTTCTAACTTATTTTATGGTAATAAGCATTCTAGCAGTTCACTATTACCTACTTATTTCAATTAGACTCGTTATATATAATAAAGATGGTATGTACCTTACATTATATATTATTAAAGATAAGAATTACGTACGCGTTCTATGATTACATATTATAAACACAGATATCTTTATAATCTTGCCCTATAGAGCTTATAATATTCAAACTCTCCCTTATAAAGGAATGTTACAGAATTCTTAGATTCTTAAAACTAGACTTTATGTTTTATTACAATATTTTATCATAACTTGTAAACTACAATGTAACTTGCAAGATAAGTTGGGATATACACAATCAGTTACATATTCATTATTATGTATTTTTATAATTGTTTTAATCAATCCATGAAACATCTGTACCTGAATTATTTCAAATTAATAATCCTAACACGAAACTTAACATTATATACTTAATCAATATAATATTATCTTAGGACTCAGTCAAAAATACATCACATTAATAGCAGGTAAAAACTACTATAAAGTACCATTTGTACCTTGTAGTTCCCATATATCTAGCAAGTGAATTACAATTGTAAATTACGTGAGCAATTCCAATTTCTATGTGGAGATTGGCCATATATATCATTTTTAAATATCATATCACTATTAGATTAAACATCTTTAAATGTTTAGTAGAATTAATATTAAATGAGTCAATGACACGTTTTTAACAGAAATAATTTATTTGTTTAACACCTACATGACTAGATGATATAATTATATTTAATAACATTATAAGCTTAAGTATTCTGCTAGTGTCCAGACTCTGCACAAAATCGTATTAAGGCCTCTGGAGTCCAGAGGCCTTAGTACGATTTTTTACGATTAGTTTGACGTTTAAAGTAATCGAAACGAGTCTGCCTTTAGAGGCGTATGCGTATGGTCAGGCACTCTGATTGGCCGGCGCCTGAACCAATCAATCAGAGTGCCGAACGCGAACTCGTAACGATTACCTACTTTAAACGTAAATGAAACTCGTATTAAGGCCTAAGTAAATTATCTATGGATGGTCTTGAAATGGCTTATAAACACTACTCTCCGATATGGCATAGTACACATCCTCCTATTTATAGGCAGGATTCATTCAACCTAGTGCTCAGATGCAATTAAATAAAAATAAATCTTGTTTTCTTTCAGATAAACTAATATAAACGATTATTATACAAAAAATGGATCAATATTAATTTTCTATAAAAAAAAAATATTTTTTTTTAACTATTTTTTGACCGCCAAAGATTTTTTTAATACACATGGTGTTCAACCTTTTCAAGATTATCCATTAATTTCTGATCTATATTTTAATAAGATTCTAGTTCGATAGAGGTGCCAATTTTATTAAATTTAATAACAATATTATTTTCTGTTTCAGCAAGTGCGATAATGAATTAAATTGTCCGCAATACTACAGGGCAGTCCTGACATACGCTTGTGGTGGAAGTGCAGTCCTCGGCATGCTATCTTTATCATTCGTTAAATTTACGCCTGGACACAAAAATGAAACGGATTTATAAAATTGTTTAATATGAGTAAAATTACTATTTATTATCTATGATTCAAATTGTGTACATATTATTAAATCTTTTAAATTAAACAACATTAAAATATCAGCGAAGTAAGCTATTATGTTTTCCAACGGGAATCTTAATGGTAGCAAAAATAAATTAAATATTGGGAACTTGCCACTGCTCGGCAATTTACTGTTTTACTCATAGTATTCTCTATCTATTATTTATTTACGGATTACGTGATTGTTATGGAATCATGTAGTTTAGTGGGTTTTTCTATTAAACCAGAAAAATATTTATGTTGGTTTTATTGGATTTAATTGAAACACATCCAGAAATGGATCATAATTGTACTTAAATGGGAAAGGATTGGCCTCAAAGTTAACCGCAACCTTAAGTTGAGGCCTCCTTCTTGTTGACTTTGCTTTATTAAACAATTGAATCTGTTTTTTTAGAGATGTTTGATCATATAGTGCTTCTATAAAAACACTGTATAAGTTAGTACATGATCTTACTAAGTTGTCTGGATCCGCAGTTTTAGTGTGATCCCATTGTTTCAGATCGACTAAATTAATATTTTCTAAAGTACTACACTCACCAAGCGAATCAAATAGCTTCTGGAAATCTACTCCCTTATCTACAATACGTAAATTTTTTAATGATTTACTAGCTTTAATAGCACGACAAACATTATGGCTATAACCGCGTGATGTCATATTAGGGCACTCCACTGACAAAGTAACTAAATTATAGAAATTCTGAAACAATATTGAAAAGAATTCAGAATGATAATTTACAGCTCCACCTGATATACTGAAGAATGTTATTTTTTGAAAATAGTCAGCATATGTTGGCAATAATATGGCAGATACTGTTTCAAATTTAAAAGTTATATTAATTTGGGCCTTAGATTTCTGTAAAAACACATGATCATAATCTAGTACTACAGTGGGCACTAACGTTTTCCTTCTCTTGCTCTCCTTTGAAGAAGGTTCTCCCATATCAATAAGACATGGGGTTGGCTCTGTAAAGACCCAGTCATAATTAGGTGGACAAATATCTTGACTTGTTTCCTTATAATAAAAAGGGAAATATGGCTTAACTCTTTCATACAATCTATTAAAAAATATATCATCAAACTGTGTTGTTTCTCTTTTCCACATCATTAAGGCAATATTTCCTACAAGATTTCTAGTATGATCTGTCATGGATTCCACATTTACATTAAAATGTTTTGTGAAAAATGGACATAATTTTGGTGAAGCACAAACAGTCATATTATGAACATGCATTATGGATATCACACAAAATTCATAGTCTTTCCAATTTAGAGCTGCTATAATAGGAAAATTTGAGAGGAAGTCATATGTTCTTTTAGCTCTCCAATCTACTAAGAAAAGTGCCAAATGATCAAAGCTTGGTGCAACACAGGGTGTAAATCTTTCTACAAGTGATGTGTTCATATGATCATACTCAGCGGCACTCAGTTTTAATGTTTCTAACTTTGCTTTCTCCAACATATAAACAACTGTCCGAGATAATAGTAAATTAGTCAAAGATCCTACAAAATGAATATTTTCAAACTGATTGAATAATTCCTGATAGTCCTTCAACATGTTTTCATCAATCCGAATAATAGGAGATCTACCGAACACAAAGTTAACCACTATATTCTTTAAACTGGGACATACTTTGACTATTTCTTGTAGGTCAGGAATATTTAGATTTGTATATGAAATATCTAATGTCTTTAGGCGTTTTAATCGTTTAAGAGCTGGTAAAACCAATTTCACTGACTTTAAGTCAGGAACAGCTTTCATGTTGAGCTCCAACAGGTTTACTGATATTGATTTGAAGTACTGTGTCTTCAGTATATTCACAGTTGCCATTTTATTCATGAACATACTAAATTTTGAAATCCCGGAGTTAGCAAGTACATGTCTAAAATACTGGCAAGTATTAAACAAGTTATGATGATCCGATAAATCCAGCATCTTGAAAATCATGATCAGTACTTCTTCAGGAACGTGTGTTATGTGTGCCATTGTAGTACTGAAAAAAAAATTATAAAAATTACACACAAAATTTGTAAGTAACAGGACTAACTTTTACAGAAAGGGGTGACAAAACATTTCACTCGTTGAAAATCATCCCCTAAATTTGTTCATACGAAAGTAAACATTGGAAATAAGGTCTATAACTAATGACAAACCGGTGAAAATGAAGTAAATATTAATAAAAATAGTGAAACTAAAAGACAAGTAAAGTTGCAAAGACAAGACAAAAGTTTTTATTTTATTTAAGTTCACTGCTTCAGAACGGTTGGAGTGCGGCAAGCACTATTAACTATTTTAAACGAGCCGCCTTTAACCATTGGCATGATACAAGTTTATAAAAAAAAAATATTAGAAAATTTTACCTGTAACATGTCTCATCGGTATATAAGGTTGATCTTAGTTGAGAAATGAGAATGGGATCTCCGACTAATAATTAAAATTACATAGAAATTGAAAACTTACCAATTAATCAATGTAACATTTATGGAACTGATTCAACTGTTAGAAGTTTTATAAAATATTAGCGACTTCGTATTTAGAAAGTATTTATTACCATTTATACATAAAAATAAATATGTACCGAACCGATAGGCGATATTTTGTCATTGACACTTAACATGTCAGTTTGTTTGACACCAGACCATAGAGCAACACAGGCCACCGGCGGACCGGAGTGTTGCTCTATGCACCAGACACAAGACACAATGAAATCGATTTGAAGTGACAACAATGATAGAAATCGGCTTAGCATACAATGACACGCTGGTCTTTCGGCAGTCTACTCTAAAGTCCTAAAACTTATAATTGTAATACTTTAAAAAACGTCCTTGACTTTACTTCCCATATGTCCAAATCACTTTACCCAAATGTCGTCCTGTCGACATTATTTTGTTTATTGTTATAGAAAATACAGAATTGACTATAACCATAGATGTAATAATAATTCCTTTATCATACCAATACCTATAACTTACGACAAAATAACTAACTTCTACTAGCGACTTCATAGCATACGCACAAATAGGTGATCCCCATATTTACTATTTTCGTGGGAATTCAGGGAAGTCCACTCTTAGTGTTTCCCTACATTCCCCAAAGAACACAAAACGCATAATTATGCTAAGTTTATGTCAGTCAGATAATCAGACCATATCAGACACTGAGTAACGGAAGACAGGCTTAAATAAATTTTTAGTAACTAAACTAATAAGATCTGTCCTATTATCGAGAATTTATTTTTTTGTTTACGAAAGCGGAAGTCGTTTTTCTACAGTTGGTAATACTGTATGAACCACTAGTGATGCTAGCACTTAATGATGTTAGTGCATTCGTGACTCGATGTTTTGTGACTCGAAATTTACTCGATTTTCTTTTACGAGGTTCTATAAAACTTTTTTCTTTTTTTAGTACAGGTCCTACCTTGTACATTTTTTTATTTATTTGCTATATTCGTCCATCTTTTTTGCTTTGCAGTCTACAATATTACATTTTTCAACTATTCTATTAAACAATCTTTTAGTCAGTTAATCACAGATAAGTAAGTATTGAAAAGAAAATAAGCACACATACATATACAGGGTTACTGGTAACTCGACGTATTCCTTGCAGGACGTCATAGTAGGGTTAAAATGCAGCAAATTAGGTCACTAAATGATCTACCGAAGTTTTTGAGTTATTTAGATTTTTAGGTTTTTATGAAAAAATCCCAAATTAAATCATTTGGAGCCAATTCAGAAATGATTTACTCCGCGACTGTGCTGAAATTTTAGTTAATATCATAGTTGATGACGTATCAGATCTTTGTAAATAACTAAAAGTTCAAAAAATTCTATAACCTTTGGCAAATATCACTGAAGAAACATTATTTTTTTTGTGATTTTCGCGATTACTTCACACAAAATGTTGTTAACTGAAAAAAAAATTTACTATGCCAGATGTACAAGTTACTAGAAAAATATCCTTGTCTTATGAGCTATGAATCATTTTTAAATTGGCTTCAAATGATTTAATCTGGTATTTTTTCATAAAAACCTAAAAATATAAATAACTCAAAAACTACTGAACTTCGGTAGAACATTTGGTGTCCTAATTTGCTGCATTTTAACCCTACTATGACGCCTTGCAAGGAATACGTCGAGTTACCTGTAACCCTGTATTAAAGTAATAAAAGTACATAATATTAAGTAAAAATGATGACGTTAATATTAATAAAAACTGTTTATTGGGTATTAAAAAATCGATATAAATTATCGAGTAATTTTTCATTACTTGACATCCCTACAAAGATTATTTCGTCAGGCAGCTGGCAGATGGCAATATGGCTGTAGCTTTCGAGTTTCGCTGGCAGTGCGCGGTGCTCGCATCATTTCCAGTACTGAAGTAGTATTTCTGACGGCTCTAAAGATTCGTTTTTTAATTTTTTAGTGGTTATTGTCTCTGTTTACCTTAAATTATCTAATGTTTTGTGGCAAAATTACTGTTTTTTCATTTCCGTCGTCACCAGAATTTATTCGACGACAAAATGGCGTCGCTTGACAAGATTTTACTGCAAAATATTTTTTCGCATTTTATACGCTTATCATAAAAATATGCCGGAAAAATTTATTTCAAGTGTTTTCTCAACAATTTTCTTGATGAATTATTCAGTTTTTGTTCGTTTCGGTCGTTAATTATATAAGAAACCGTGTATTCCTTGAATTTACTACAAAATGCACCTGGTAAGTGATTTTAAAGCATATTCCTTTATTGTTTTTGTGTATTTGTTTATTTTGTTAAATTTTAAATGGCTAAAATAATCATGGAACGTTCTAGATGTCTTGGGTGTGGCCCAGAAAAAGGCTGAAATTTTGAGACGTAATACTGAATTTGAGGGTTTTTGTGATTGTTTACAATATATTTTGCTGTTTTTATGTATGAAAACATTCTAGTCCCACGTAAGAAAGTGTTTGCGATGATTCTTTGTTACGTAATCTACCCGTAATACGCAGAGAAAATTATTTTGAGATGGGCCCCTTTTTTACAATTTGGCTTTGAAAATTGGTCTTATTGAGCATTGCATCTGAAGACACTATCATTTGAGGTTATGTTACTAATTTGTCGTATATTTCTTCCTTATTTCTTTGTATAGATTGTGGTAATTTCATGGTTCTGCACCTGTCTACAAATACATTCAATTTATTCCTTTTTTTGATCATTTTGGCTATTTATTGCACCCAAGTGCAATGATTTGAGGTTAACTAGACTGTTGTTTATTTACATTCCATGCTATGTATCTTAGCAGCCAGCCCCAGTGTTAACTAACACTCAATTTTGTTAAGAAAAATGATTTTGTTAAATTAAATAAAAAGTGTTTTTTTGAGGGGTTGTTCACGTTTGAACCCCAACGTTTAGCATTTAGAACAAAAGTTTAGACGACCCATTTCAAAACACAAACTATACATATTAATAATTTAATGCAGGCTTTATATTCTTTATATCTACTTTACTAATTTATATTTATTTGTAATTGGATATATCTATTAGGATGTTGTGTACTAAAATTAAATGACCATAATGGGACAAATTGGAGTTTTCGGTCTATTTCATTTTGTGTATTCTTTACAGATGGGATTCATGAATGAATCTGGAAGTGATTCAAATAGCGATAAGGGTGAGAAGAGTGATTCTAGTGGATCGGGTTCCGGAAGTGAAAGGTGAGATTAGTATTGCAATTTAGTGCTATTATTCATGTAGTTTAATTTGTTTTCTTTGCATAATCACCAAAAAAACTTTTTTGAACAGTGAAAGCGGATCTAGTTCATCTGGTTCAGGATCTGAAAGGTCTGGTTCTGAAAAATCCTTGGACAGGTCCCATCACAGTGATGACACAAAATCATCACCAAAGCACAGCAATGCTAACTCATCAAAATCTGATCATCATACTGACAAAAACACATCTGATGAAGATTCCCCATCTAAATCTAAATCACGTAATAGCAAGTTAAAATCTGATTTATGGGAAGACAATCCAGACATATATGGAATCAGGAGGTCGGCTAGGTCAAGAAAGGAACCAGATAGACTAAAATTAGCTGATAGTGATTCAAGTGAAAGGGGCAGGACACACAGTAGAAAAGTAGAAAAAAAAGGTAGTAAACAGGTATATGAATAACATAGCTATTTATAATTATGTTCTTGTTTTTAATAAATGTACTATATTTTAGTGCATCATGGAATTCAGACTCGTCAGATAGTGATAGTGACTTGAAAGGTTCACCACCTCCACCTTCCAAGAGACCAGGCCAAAGAAGTGTACCTCTCAGAAAAAGGAAACCAACACGAAGAAGATTTTCTAGTGATGAGGATGAAAGTTCTGAAGGCAGTGATGATGATAACAAAAGGTAAGAATCTTATTTTTTCTAGATGAACACTAGCGGTGGCTGCAAACACTACACTTTAAAAATTACAATTGGAATGTAATTTATTGATAGCAAGGTTGTATATAGGTAGTACCTACCTGGTTTATTAGTTCCGTTTCACTAAATAACAAAAGTGACATGATTATCCTATTCTATCAAGTAAATTTACTAAAAAAAAAAATTATTACCATAATAATTAAACAATAGATTGTGCTGATTAGTACTATTATTTTCTTCAACTCTTTAGTTTCTTGAGACTTTCTATTGAGAGCTTCCTTAGTCTAAGGTTACATTTGTAAAATATTAAATACCATGCTGTTTAGCATGGTATTTAATATTTTAATATTAAATACCATATAAAATATTAAATACCATGCTGTTTAGCATGGTATTTAATATTTTACAAATGTAACCAAGAGTTTTCTCAAGAGTTTTCTCAAGAGTTTTCTTGAGTTTAAATTTGATAAATCTACAGAAGAGTCTAAAATTGTGCCAGGTGAATGGTAACAGGCTCACCTTTTATGAGACTAATGGAACTTAACTAGAAAAATGTGGGTGTTGCATCCAGTATGTGTAACTGCTTACCTCTTC